TTCCTGTTTCTATTAAATGCATTTAAGCTATCAAGTATTACCAAGCTGTCAAGTATTACAAACTACCAGCAAACTTACTAATTCATGATTCAAATGAACAGTTTATGAGTAAGCCAAATTTAGACTGGGTTTTTCTGGGCTATTCTGATTTCAGCAGAAATTTTTACAAGCATATGCTCTGCTATTTGACACGGTTGCCCTGTTCCTGGAAGAGAAATGGCTGTCCACTCTAGTCTTTTCATTCTCATCCACATGGCCTCTTCTCCTTCATAAGCCTAATATGAGCTTCTCCTTCTTAAGATGGTGAGGTTTACAAAGATAAAAATGGGAAGAAATCAAGACACTCTATGTCTAAGCACAATACCAGTACATTTCCATATTCTCTCTCTTCTACTGGCTGTAATATAATAGCCATTTTTTATTCACATATTGACAAAGAGATACTATCTCTTGATAAAAACAGCTATAAAAGAGTATTGGCAATTTGCTGGGATACAGGGAAGGATATGGAACTGGAGATATTTTTGCATTTTATACTTTTTTACCTTTTCTTTCAGAGAATATTTGTATGTCTATTCTAAATTTATAAAATTTTACCATACCACAGATACTAGTAGAGGCTAGTCAGGTTTTGAACTCAGAATCACAACTGCCTGACTCAAAGATTTTCCTAGGTCACAATAATCATGCAAATTTTCTAGGGCTCTTGATATAGTTAAATTGGTAGAGTGCTTGCCTTGAATGCAAAAGACCCTAGGTTGAATCCCTAGCACCAAAATAAATAAATAAATAAGTAAATAAATAAAATAAAACTTTTCTAGGAATTTAGTAACTGAAAAATTACACCTCTGCTACAGAAGCATGATTCTTTTCAGCTTCATATCCTTTACTACTTTTTACTATTAAAACACTTTCAAGAACACTCAACTTTTTTTTTTTTAAATAGGGAATAATTTGGGTAGATCAAATTGGACTATGTTTTGAAAATAAAGCCAAATAAATCATTTTTATTTCTCATCATGAGATAATAGTAAAAAATGTGCATAACATACAATATACAGGTAACTTAGTTTGTTCCTTTTCTTTGTTTTTCATAGTCTACTTATAATTTTTAACCTAGATTAAACCTAGACATTCTTTTCATGAAACAATCTCTTGATATGAAAGCAAGAGAACAAGATAGATCTACTGAAAAAAAATTTTTTTCCACCAGCAGTTTGACTAAACACCTGAAGATATAAGAAAATGATTCTTTTATTTTTTTCAACATGGCAAATCTTTTTTCTATAAACCCCACATGAAAGGCTGAAGTGGATAAATCCACACAGCACACAAGGAAACCACACAGAGCTAATGCATTTTCAATTGGGAACGAGTGATGAGCCCCTCTCCTTGTATGTTTACTTTTGGTGAGGTCATATGTCCATCTCTTGAATGTCATAGAAATAACATCATATAGTTTTAACAAATAGAATGATAAAAACCTTCACTGCTTTTAAGCACAGAATATTTACATCATCCCCCCAAAAAAACATTTTCTTTCACGTGCAACTTTTTGTTTCTAGAAGGATGTTAGTGTAATGGATTATAGAACTACATTTTTATTTTGCCTGACATCATGCAATATAATTCAAATACAGCTGCTGAACTATACAGTATCTGTGAGAGTCAATAAGCATGTGTGCATCAGTACAGTGTTTGTTTGTATTGATGGCTGCTTTTATATTTTACGGATTCACTACAAATTGTTAATTTTAACATTCAAGAACATTTGAGTTATTTCTTACTTTGGACCATTTAGGACCAGTGAGGCCATCAATAATTTTGAACAAATAATTATTAAACTCAGCTTATTCTTTCCTAGTATTTCAATGACACTATATATTATTTTTTCTGATTGCTATGAAAATTATAATTTCCATCTTATCATTTCAATTTAATTAGAGTCAATATTATATGAGTTTACTAAATACAAAATAAAAACCTTACCACAGACTGTTTATTTTCTTGTAGTCCTTATGCAATTACTATAAATATTTATGTACACATTATACATCCCAAAAATACACTGCATAATTTTTTATGAAATAATCATAGATTATTATAAAACAAAGAGAAACAAGTATCAATCATAAGATTGCTAATACATGCTAGCCATGATGATACATACCTATAATAATTCCAGTAACTTGGGACAATGAGGCAGCAGGATAACAAATACAAATATTGCCTCTTTTACTTAGCAAGGCTCTCAGTCACTCAGCAAAACACTGTCTCTAATAAAAATACAAAAAGAGCATGGGAGCTCAGGATGTGGCTCAGTGCTTAAGTGTACCTAGGTTCAATCAATGGTACCCCCCCCCAAAAAAAAAAAAAAAAAAAAGATTTGTAATATATTATAAAACTTAGGCAGTGCGGTAAAACGTTGACAATAATGTAACAAATACAGAATTTAATAGATAATATGGAGAAATTATGAAATGTTATTAGTCACATTTTGGCTACAATATTAGTAGATATGTAGGTTTTGGTAAATTTTCTTTCCTATGTGCCACATGTTTGTAAGTATAAATTTTTAATGTCATGACTTATAGTCTGAGATACCATTTAAACAACAATTATACTTTATATTGATTGTTTTATGTTCTATAAGATACTTTGCTCTCAGCTTTTTAAAATTTCAGAAAAGTGAATTCAAGAATGGTTTCAAAGTCACCAAACACTACACAATAAGAAGTATAGGGAACCTTTAATATCCCTGATGAAAACTCTAAAACACGTTAAAGATGAGAAAACAATTTTATGTGAACATTCTGAATTTAAGTCTTCACTCTCAAATTTTTATCTACACAATGACAGTACACTTTAGATAACATTCAGTCAGAAATTCACCACATTATACACATTCATCAGAAGTCCAGGTGCATATGCTTTGTTGACTTTTCCATTTCATCTACTTTTTTTTTTTTTAATTTTTACACCCTTCATTTTTGGAGACCTTGAAAGTATCTACTTTTTAAGCTCTGTTATTACACAGTTGGGGAAAGAACAAAGTTAAAATAGCAAGCCACACAAGGAAGCTACTTTGTATAGACCTTACTTTCACCATGTTAAAAAGATTGGTGAGAATCTCAAAAACCTACAATTCAGAAACAAACAAACAACAACAACAAAACAAGACCACCAAACAGACACAAGTACATCCACTCAGTGAAAGAAGTGAAAGAAACATAAAGCAGTAAATTCTCTGTTCTCAATTAAGTAGATTACAGAAGCAATAAAGAATTCCTCCAATCTTTAAAAATAAAAACATATATTTTCAGGAAGTTTGTCAGAATCAGCCCGCCACTTTTGAACACTGCAAAAAATAAAATATATTCAAAAGTATTTTAGAACAAAATATTTTATAACAAATAAATAATGAGAAGCTATATAAAAGAATACTTCCTAAAGTCACATGTGCAGTAAGCAGCATTTAAGAAAAAAAATTTAAATGCTGTCAAATTTGAAGAGTTTGCCTCACCAAGCTGCTTCTGTTTCTGAAAATATGTTACGCAGCTTTCAATTATAATTTGCAAATATATGCGCAACCTGGAAAAACAGTATTTATATTTGATACCTACCACTTTAGCATGATTCAGTTTGGTCACATCATCAATTAAACTTGCAAAAAATCTCTAGATTCCCATTGTTGCTAAAGGAAATAATCACAAATATAACAGCTTAAAAGAGTAAAAACTCATTCTTTTATAGTTATGGATGTTTTCATTATCATGACAGAAAATTAATATCAAAGTATTAGCGAAGCCACACTCTTTTCAGAAACTCTGGAAGAGAATCATTCTAGCTTCTAGTTGGTATTGGTATTTTTTCTGTGGTTACAAATGTTTCCCTTTTTCTTGTAGTGATATAGCCTTCAAGAGAGAAAAACAATTATATATATATACAGAGAGAGAGAGAGAGAGAGAGAGAGAGAGAGAGAGAATGGTGCTGTCATAACAAGCTACAACATTCAAGCATCATAGAATCTGAGAACTATAGCAACATAGAAGGTAGATACTCCATTGAGCTTATTTTTATTCATGCACAGAGTATTTGAAATTTCATGCACAGTGGATGAAGAAAGAGGAGGGACACAGAGCCAGGAGAATGTAGCAAGACAGGTTAATTATGTACAAAAGTGAGTGTGATGGATAAAAATGTGACATCATACACTGTCTCTGGATGCAGATCAGAGGACAGAGCCATGTCCAGAGTGGAGGTCTTATTTGTTTTTTCTTGGAACCCTGGAAACTCTCTCAATTGCACAGAGCTTTGGATTATTCCAACTAATACTCTATTCATACTTTCTGCCTGTCCTTGGTCATCCTCTTACAATAAATGTGCATGGTACTTATTTGAATACTGGGAAAAGAGAAACTACATCAGTGATCTCTGTTACTCAATTTTTAAGAAACTTTCCTGTATATTTCCATGGATTTATGTATCTGGAGACCAATTTTAAATATTTTAGAATGAGGAACACTCAGTGATCAAAGCTAAAATATAAAGTAGGTGAAAATACTTGCAAAGCACATATGTACCAAAAAGTTGATATGACAGAATGAAAGTGGTTTATATTTGTGGGGAAAAGAAGGCATACCAAAAGAGTAAGTTACAGTCAAAATATTTCTAAATTCACTTAATAAAAGGGAAATATTCAACAATCACACGAATTTACAAAAAGGAGTATAAATCACTCCTACTGAGGCAAGTTAACAAAAAAGCAAATTCATTACTGCATACCAACCAGGCAGGAAAACATTAACTAGAAAGGAAAAAAAAAAAAACTGAAATTAAAAACATTGGAATTGGCCCAGACCAGCAGAGGCAGCAGCCAGAGCGCCCTCTCTTGCCCTCCACCCACTCCTGGGTCCCTTTCCCCCTTCCTCCTCCTCTGCCCCTGGCCTCCCACCCTTCTCCTTCCTGCCGGCTCCCCTTTTCCCCTCAGTCCTCTGGCACCTGCAGTTTTTGGCTTTTACCTCCACCAGTGACCAAAGACTTGACCACTCAAAGTCCAGCTCCCCATAACACTGCTCGACATGGACACCGGTGTGATTGAAAGTGGATTAAATGTCACTCTCACCATTTGGCTACTTATGCATGGGAAGGAAGTTGGCAGTATCATCAAAAAGAAAGGCGAGTTGGTTAAGAAGATGCGCGAGGAGAGTGGTGCACGTATCAATATCTCAGAAGGGAATTGTCCTGAGAGAATTATCACTTTGGCTGGACCCACTAATGCCATCTTCAAAGCCTTTGTTATGATCATTGACAAACTGGAAGAGGACATCAGCAGCTCTATGATCAATTTTACAACTGCTAGTAGACCCCCAGTCACTCTGAGGCTGGTGGTCCCTGCTAGTCAGTGTGGCTCTCTCATTGGAAAAGGTGATTTCAAGATTATGAGAGAGTACAGGGGCTCAAGTCCAGGTGACAGGGGTTATGCTCCCCAATTCACTGAGCCAGCCATCACTATTGCTGGCATTCTGCAATCCATCATTGAGGGTGTCAAACAGATCTGCGTGGTCATGACCATCCTGTACCTGCCCAAGCCATCAAGTTCTCCAGTCATCTTTGCAGGTGGTCAGGACAGATACAGCACAGGCAGCGACAGTGTGAGCTTTCTCCACACCACCCCATCCATGTGCCTCAACCCTGACCTGGAGGGACCATCTCTAGAGGCTTATATCATTCAAGGACAGTATGCCATTCCACAGCCAGATTTGACCAAGCTGCACCAGTTGGCAATGCAACAGTCTCATTTTCCTATGATGCATGGCAACACTGGATTCAGTGCAGGTTTGGATGCATCTGCTCAGACTACTTCTTATGAACTCAACACCCTACCTCTAAATAGTTTTCTGTGCTTTAGATCTTAATTTTGCTTTTGCTGAAGAAGCATCTTCAAATTCATACTACTAAGAACACAGAAAAAAAATGATACTTATCTATGTTCATGCAAGGGCATCCATGGGCTTAAAACCCTGGGATCAGGACAGAGAAATAAAATCACAAATAATTTGGTTTATGCATTTGTGGGTGTTCAGAACAAAGAGCTCCAGTCTCCAGTTTGTACCTCTAAAAATTCCATGACAGCCAATTTTTCTCAGCAGGAAAATTTCTCTTCAGTGACGAATGTAATCTTTTAACATCTTCCATTCAATGGAAGAAACTAGTTACCTCACATATAACAAAGCACTCTGAAAAAGAAAGGTAGGAGGCTTAGGCAGAGGACCCCAAATAGAAAGCCATTCCAAATGCTCAAGTTCTGGGAGTGAAGCTAACTGATCATTTTCAAATCTCCCCTAGATCACAAACTATGGGTTTTACATTGATTTGCAAGCATCTCAATGGGCTGCTAAAATCCCAAGCAGTAGTTCAAAGAAGGGATTAGAAAGTACATATATTTGTTAATTCCCAGAAAGGTTTTTACACACTCATTCTGTAGATACTTGGCAGACTGGACTCCACAATCTTCCCTGACATATTTGATGCACAAGTCAAATAGTGGACACCTGTATACTGAGCACAGGTGTTAGAGTAGCTTTTGTCACCAGGCACAGTCGCACATGCCTGTAATCCCAGCAGCTTGGAAAGTTGAGGCAGGAGGATTTTGAGTTCAATGCCCAGCCTCAGAAAAAAGTGAGGCACTAAGCAATTCAGTGACACCCTATCTCTAAATGAAATACAAAATAGGCCTAGGGATGTGGCTCAGTGGTTGAGTGCCCCAGAGTTCAATCCCCAGTGCATACCCCAAAAAAGAGAGGGAATAGTTTTGTCAGTAATCTAATACCCCAAAAGCGTCAAGAAACTATGGATCTTGGAAAAAGATAACCCTTGCACACTGTTGGTGAAAATGTAAGTTTAAAAAAGTCACTTGTGAAAATAATGTAAACCCCTTGAACTACTTAAAACAGAAATAACATATAACATGGTTTAATTAATTCTGGGTATAAATTCAAGGAGTTAAAATGAGTAAGTCAAAGAAATGAATGCATGCCCATTATATGTAGCAGTATTTCCAGTAGTCAAAGAAAAAAAAAAAAAAAGACTTAAGTGAAGAGTGTCTCAGGAGTTTTATTTCAGGTGCAAGGGATCCAACTACTCCCCAGATAATCTCCACACTATATTTCAGACTGCTTTCTCTTGGCAGGAGAGGACACAGAGATTCAAATGGGCTATACACTCCAAAACTATATAGACATGACACCGTTGGGTACCTCAGAAACAACTGACCCAGGAGAAAGTATGAGAATGACATGAGGACATGCCATCCTGCCAAGTCTACAATGGGAATCCCCACTTAAATACATTCCAGTAAGGTGTCTGTGTCTCTGGAAGAATAAAGAGAGGACAAGAATGAGCATTTTATTACAAAGTATCAAGTGATTCTTCTCTCTCTCTCTCTCTTTCTCTCATATTAAATTCTCACAAACAGGAGGATACAAATCCCATAAACAGTGCCACCTAGGACTTGGGTTGTGGCCTAGAGGTAGAGCACTTGCCTAGCATATGTGAGGCACTGGGTTTGACCTTTTGCACCACATAAAAATAAAATAAAGATATTGTATCCACCTATAATTAAAAAATAAAATGAATATTTTGAAAACTGTGCTATCTAGTGTTAAAAAATATAGTTACAAAATAATGTGTCTATTTGAAATATGAGAAACAGTTTACTATGTTGTGGAGTAATAAATTTGGCATTGGGAGTGTGAACAGAAAAATGAAAAAAAGAGAATTATATTCTGAGACCATAAAAAAATAAAACTAAAGAAAAAGTCCAGCCTTCCGAATTTGAGGTCCTGCTTCCCAGACATATAGAAAGCTCAGGAGAAAAAAGCAACTCAGTTACCTATATACCAGCAACACTTTTATGAGAGAAAAAAATTACATCTGGATTTGGGATTCTCTCCTGATGATCATGCCAATCAGTACCACAAAATCTGAGGAGATGCCACGCTTCCAGAACAAAGCTGTCCACATACACTTCAGGTCATGCCTGAAGATATCATGATTGTATAATACAGAATGTTCTGACTTTCAGCTGCTGACGCATTTCCCACTGAATTGGTCAAAGGAGACTGAGAATGAACTTCTCTATAAGATGATTCATTTTTGCATATACTGGAGACTATGCTGGAAAGTTCCCATCTACCAAAACCACTTCCAGCCATAGCAATTGCTGTTTGAAACTTCTTTCAAATGGTCTCCCATTCCAGTGTACAGATGCTGTCTCAAAACCCTGCACAGTCACTATTGCCTGGCTTTCAGTGTGCCTTGCATTCTCCATATAGATTTTTTATCATCTGCGTGGAAGCAGAACCTGGGTTTCCTGAGCATTAAGAAGGAAGCCTAGAAATGGATCTGAAAGAATGGCAAGCTCCAGAAATTAAAGCTTGATCAGATAGTGTAAACCATACCTCTTGTACTTATCATATGTTGGATCAAACAATTATCACCCAAGAGCAGCTGATTGGAAACTGCTGCCCTCTTAGTCTGAATCTGCTGAGCCTACTTTCCAAATGACAGTAGATGGAATCAACTCCAGGAATGAATGAGGACAGAATGAATCAAGATAGGCAGGTTCTTGGGTGCATTTACTTCCCTTTTTTTTTAAAGGTGATTAGAATTGAGTACAGATTGCAGCTTTTTTAAAAGGCAAGTTTTTCCAAAAGTGATGGAGTCTAGCCTTACAGTAGAATATTTAAATTAAGCCTTTTCTATATGATAATATCAATGTATGAATTATATGCACACATATTGTTAATTGTTGGAAACCATATAATGGGCAATATATTTTTTTAATTTAATTTTTCTGATCTATTTTCTAAAAAGGCAGTTAGAGCTCTCAATTGGGAAGCATTCCTCTAATGTCCAATATAAGTAATATGTTAGGCACAGGTGTAGTTTTTAACTAACTTAGTATATACAATAAAAAAGACATATTTGAAATTTATTTTAATCACAAAAATGAATATATCAAGAGTACTATTATTATGTGACAAATATAAAATTACTAATTAAGAATATATATGTATTTAAAACTACATCCTTACAACTCCCTCTATTTTAAGGCTCTAGCACATCTTAATTCATAGTGGTGACATTCCATTTTGAGAATATGGCTCCTCTGACCTTGGGGAGTCAAAAAGCCTGGACTCCTTCATTCCATACAAGAGGTGTGAGAATACACTTTTTCATCAATTCTTTTCCACAAAACCAAACAGCAAGAGTGGCACTGTCCTCAGAAAGAGAAAGAAGACCAAACAAGACAGGGTTTAAAAGATACTGATTTTTTTTCTTTCTATGTGATGCTGAACACAGACTTATTAACATTTCAGGTGTCAGACAACATAAAAGAGAAGAGAAAGTTCCAAGAGTGGGTGTCTCATTTTGTATATCTTTTCACAGCCTTGACTCTAAAACTTAAATATATTAAAGAAAAACATCTTATTTTGCAACTTAGCCTTTGACCTAATGCCAGGCTGTGATATTGTTTCCTCACTTGGTATGAGGTACTGTGAGAGTTTTAGCATCAATCTGATGTGTACATGTCTGCATAAGCTAATAGTACCTAATAATGGTCCAGACTTAGGGAAAAAAGAAAACAGTACCAATAAGGCAACTGCTGTTTTCCATAGAATTTTCTCAAAGTATGTGACAGAATCCTGGTTTCCAATTATAATTGATGGATGAGTCACTCTAAAGCTTATTATCTCATAATTGGTCTGGTTTATTAATTTATGCTGGTCTTATTGGTTTTTTTGTTTTGTTTTGTTTTGTTTTCTGGTAGAAACAGTTAGCTGATGACTGTTGAACTTCAGAGGGTTACGTATCATCTTCATCAGGGCACCTTAATTCTCTGCTTTGATAATTCCTCCTCTAATGTGGGCTTGTTATTTTGGACACAACAGGATTTGAAAAGCAAAATCAAAAGAAATCAAGATCTTTTGAGTGTAGGTACCTATTCATTTTCATCTTTAGAGGTTCCTATGAGCCACAATAAATAAATAAAAAATGCCAGGCACAGTAATGCATGACCATAATCCAAGTGGCCCAGGAGACTAAGGCAGGAGGATTGTTGAAAATGTTTAAACTCAGCAATGTTGAGGAACTGAGAAACTCAGTAAGACCCTGCCTATAAAAAAATACAAAATAAGGCTGGGGATATGGCTCGGTCGCCAAGTGCCACTGAGTTCAATCCCTCATACTCCAAACCTCCCCCACTCCACCCCCCAAAAGAAAGAAATATTAGATTTTAAGGACTTGGAAACAGGTTCTGCATTTTAACATGTGAAGATAAAAAATACAATACCTAGTTTATAAATACAGAAAAGAAGGAAAATTGCTGATATCATGCACTGTATATCATACTACCCTATTTTAAACATGAAGCTTATATAATGGTTTGAAGGAAAGAAACATGTTCAAATATCCACAATTATTAAGAAGACCAGGTAGAATTCAGAATCAACTATGCATGACTCTGAATCCCAAAGATTTCCACTAGACCACATACTACATGAACATTTTCTTACTCTCTGAGGTTTTGGATGGAGACATACCAAAAAAATCAGGATCGTGTCCATATTGTGTACATCACCAGTGGAAATAATATATTCAAGAGTATTCTTCTGAAACTTCTAGAAAGTACTTGGAATAATTTTGAGTAATGGCCGATGTCTCAATTTAGAAAATCAATAATCAACAATACATTTTTATGAGAATACTACAATACATTCCGTAGGCATGGTGATAAATTATTCTTTGGAAATTCTAGAAAGAGAATACTTCATCTGTGTCCCCAAAGTGCTAAAAATGAAAATTTGAAAACCCATAAAAGAGAGTGTAGAAGGACACAGCACTTTTAAACAAG